GGCAGGTTTTTAATTTAGAATTTCCATTCGCATTTGGATTATTTATTGAGGGTATATATAGATGTCTATAGGCCACACCATCCTCTTACCACCAGGTGGACTGTGTTCTCATGTGTCACCCTTATTCTATAAAAACTTAGCTATTGCCGTGCACTACTTACAGACTGCAACTAGGCTGAGGAGCATTGCTAGCACGAGGCTGTCAATCCTGTGGTAACAGATCCACCTTCTCAGCGTGCAAGTTAGGCCGTAGATTATAAACTTAGTTGTGACAGTCTCTGACTCTGAATGGTTAATGATTTTTATAAAAATAATTGCATCTATACAAATACATAAAATTAAAGTGTCTGTTTGTAAAGTTAAAATAACAGCTTTTTACTAAGTACAGATGAAAGTATGTACGGTACTAAAAACAAAAAAAAAATTATAATTTTGTCTGTCTGTTTGTTCCGGCTAATCTCCGTAATGTCTGTACTGATTTTGTCGGGACTTTCACTGGCAGATAGCTCATGTTATAATGTTATAAGGAGTAACTTAAGCTACGTTTATAAAAAAATAATTAGGGTTCCGCGCAAAAATATTAAAACCCATGAAATCTAATAGTAATAAAATCCACGCGGGCGAAGTCGCGGGGGACAGCTACAGCTAGTTGATAAATAAAAACTAATGAAAATACTTTACTAGGCACGTACGTATCCAAATATACGAGTATTTTCTTTGATTAAAATTAAGTAGCCTGGTAAATATTAACATATAAATAACCTCACTATTCCTTTGTCGCTCTATACGTAGCCAAACAAAGAAAATTCCGAAATAATCTCACACACAACAAAATAAATTGTCATTCCTTTGCCAGGATTGTTTTTAAATTTCGTTATACACTATTTGGCCGAACATAAAACAACGTGAGACGGCTTATAATGCCCTTGATGAGTGCGAAAGAGATAGCGCCCCCTCTTTCTACGTACACTTTCGAGTTTCGTTGATACTGTTTTCTTGTTTCATGAGTTGGGTTTTCGGCAACGTGATGGAGCAAAGGTGACGAGGCAAGATGTTTGTATATTTTTTTTTGTTTTCGGAGTCGTGAATTTACATAGAGTATACAAATGTAGTAAGCTCATGATGGATAATTTATTGTTTTTTAAAAGTTCACTGGCGCTCAACTCATTTATAAAAGAAAAAGCCGCAGATTTTTTTTTAAATTACTGTAAATGTCATGATTATGAAATAAACTCACTTGTTTGACTTAACTAGCGGCCCGCCCCGGCTTTGGTTGGGATGAAAAATTATCCAGCCGTGCTAACCGCCCCATACTTATATAGTTGCAAGAGAGGTTTTTATATAAAAATGGTTACTGTATATTATCCTTAGAAAATAGATATTCTTAGAAGATAGACACTTTGTTTTAAACTCGCGTACTTTGTTTTAAAACTTTTCAAGAGGAACATTTATAGCCATACATTATTTTCGTGGTACTTTAACAATTGACTAAGCACAGGCTTTGAAACACTTAAGAAGTACGACTTTTTCCGACTTAGTTGAAGAATATCATCATAACTTTTACAAATAATTTATATTGTATATACATAAGTATAGATTTTTCTTAAATCTTCAACGTTAAAAATATCTAGCTTGTGTTTATAAGGACACCATTGAACAACTTGGTCTGTTTGTAGCGCAAAGCTTACATCACTAAGCGCCGGCCACCCGGTCAACTTATCTCCTATCACATTACCCGGGCCGATTATATCGCCTCCTTCAGCCGCCTCCCCTGATAACGCCCGTGAATTTGACAAGATGACGTATAAACTTTTTTCATAAAACCACTCAATATCTTTAAGATTAGGTATCAGCTCTTTTGGCAATTGAGACTGATTGTATCTATGTATTTTCTACTAAGATGGCAGTCTCAAAATAATGTCACTACTTAACAAAGACAATATATATATATAACACTATTCTTCGAATAAAACTATTTAATCTAATTTTTTTTTTAATTTCCGAGGTTTCGGAGTTTTGCAACACCCACCACCGACTTGCACAACCTCACCAACAAATGTCAAAGTCAACCCAGAGTACCTTCAGCTTTGTAATTAGATATAATTTCGGCCCGATAAAAAAACCGTAAATATATATATTCAAAGAGTCCACCTAAAAATGTCCTATAAGTGGCACAAAAAGCAAGTACGGGAAACTCTTGGAAGATCTCATGGCTTTCAATATAATATGGTGTAACCATCTCGTATGGCTGACGTAAACCACCAGACCAGTAACGGGGACCATCGTCACAGGTGTGGTGATTATGACAAACTACTAAGAGAGGCAAAGTTCCACCAGTAAATTGTTTATGGACTCTCGTTGGTGAACAGAAGAGGAAATACAAGTTATAATAAGGAACGTGAAGGTAATATGGTCACCTTAAGATATGCCGTCCTATAAAACCAAAACTATGAAGAGGACAGAAACAAAAACACAAAGTCGTATACTATAACTAATATATTAAGAAAAAGTTTTTCTTTATAGGATTGCGTGACAAACGAGCACACAGTCCACCTGATGGTAAGTGGTTGCTGTGACCCATAGACATCTACATTTATCCTCGTTTGCGAATCAAATGCAGATGCGTTGTCGCTCGTGAGGACCAAGTTGGAATGTCTCTTTTCCAGTAAAAAGGGTCTCCAGTTCTCTACACTGACCATACGAAGCACAGCAACATTAAGCTGCTATTTTACGCTGGTATGCAATACATACACACATTAATAGATCCTATACAGGCGAAGCCGGAGAGGGTGATCAATTAGAAATAAGGGCCAAGATTTAAACATAGAATGAAAACTATTCACGAAATATAAAATGTACTACGCTAGAAAAAACCGATTGTGCCACATCCTAATGGGAAGTGCTGAGCTCTTTCGCCATTTTTGTTATGCATGCTCTATTTATTTTCATCTCAGAATTAAGGAAACCACGTTTACCTTACTATAAATCTTGTAGATCGTCGTATTTTACTAACATATTATTTGCAATAGATAGACCTCAACACAAGCAAAATATTTTTTTTTACAAGTAATTCTATTACATATAAAGAACAAGTATTTTCAAATCGTTCAAAAGGCATTTTTAAGATTTAAGTTTATAGCTTCTTTCAGTCAAAACAAAACCTAATTGATGTAATTATTTACACAAGTTATCGTCATTACAGCTCACAAGTCCAGTGCTGAACACAGGAATGCTACGAAGAAAGATCCTGTAGGTAAATTAGTACATGAATTAGAGTTCTGTTTTAATTTACTAAAAATAGCTATTTTTTCAACCTTAAAAAAAGGATATTTGTGTGATTTGAAAATACAGGTGTTGCATATGTTATACACTCATCTATATACCAATACAGCTTAAATGAAAAAAGTCCACAACATAGGCCCAGTTCTGCTAAATATTATCAGAATTCTATGCTGTGACAAACAACCTATGCGATAGGTGGATGGTCTCGCAAACATTGCAGCACCGAACCGCGTACACTTCATCTCGCCCAATACCAATATTGTATGTCGATACAGTGTGCGGACGACCGCACGTCAAAAGCGATGCATGCGATACTACAACCATGCAGTTAAATAAGCCCGATGTTCCCTTTAGATATGTACTTGTAGTTTACGTTACTAGCGGCACAAGGTGAATTATTCCATTTTTTCCCAGCAACTCTACCATTGGTAGAAACAAAGTGGAATCCTTTAATTTTCTGGTCCTCGTTTCCTCAGCAATACGTTCTTGTTGAGGAAAAATCCTCTGGTTTAGTAGCATCGCCCACTGTTCCCCACTAGGGCTGGCATAGGTAAGTTCCGTGACCATATTAGTGTTTTTAAATGAAAAAACTAGTTTAAGTAAAATAATTAAGTTTGAAAGTGGGCCAGATTAGGAGTACCCTTAACCGATGAGCGTGTATGCGTAGATATATGGATGTAAAGGAGGCGAGAGAGGTGTGTCAGGATCGCGCCTAATGGACGTCCATAATCTCTGCCTACCCCTCTGGGTGACAGGCGTGAGTGTTTGTGTGTGTGTTGTGTTAATTAAGTTATGCGTTACAATGTCTCTTCTCAGTTCTAAGAGGGTTTTACCTTTTGTCCCAAAGCGTGTTGACAAATTTTGTCTGTCAGTTAGTCTCGCTAAAACCCAAAAGCGGCTTGACCAATTTTGATGAAATTTTAATGTGTATTTGAATGGGTGCCCTGTAGGTGGCGCTGTTGTTAAATCCAGGAATCACCCGTGTGAAGCCGGCGTGGATCGCTAGTTTAAAATAATTATAATAATTGCACATGATTGAAGAAACATCAAGATATATTAAAATGGAAAGAAGTCGATATAAAATCCATCTAAAATTAAATTTATAAAGTCCATAGCAATTAAATATTTTAACTTACAAAATAAACTTTACATATACTTAATATTATATAACTTTGGTCATACCGATTTAAAAATAAACTTATTGCCAAAAATTATTTGGACCGCTGATGTAATGTTTGGACTTTACATCGCATTGCCATGGACTTACTTTCTCACACTTTGCAACTCTCAAATACTAACTACAATAAAACTCATAAATATTAAATAACTACACACAAACTAATCACATCAAAACAAGCGCAAAAGTTCTACAGATAAAAAAGTAACTGCTCTATAAAACAATGCAAAAAAGGTTTCCCTCTAATGGTAATGACATAAATAACTATATTTTAACGATTATAACGAACATAAAGTCAAATTTACTTGTTAATAACTTTATAAGTGTGAGAATTATACTTAACTACGCAGGAGTTTCTGCAAACAGAAGGTAAAAAGAAGAAAAAAAAGAAGGAAACAATACGCGGCTGCATTAAACAAGGTTGGCAACATTGTCAAAATTACAACCACATAATATGCCTCCAGCTAGAAATAAGGCCAAACACTAAGTAGACAAAACAGCACACGAAAGACTCAAAATGGAAGCACCCTCTACGACGTACCTTTGAAGCGAATCTTTTTAAGAAATTGCTTGGCTATGCGAGGCTTCATGCGCCCCGTTCGTCCTGGAAATGTTTAATTGTGTTAGTTTTAACAATCATTCAACAAAATAAGTAAAACTTAAGACTTTAAACTTATGTTTATAATGTGTAGTTTTAATTTTAGATTGTCTTTCTTTTTTTGAAAACTAAAATTTAATATTGTGTAGGCTCCGATTCGATCTGCCTACACAGTACACCCATTTGATGACTAATTGAAGATTTAATTTTTTTACTTAATATAATATTGAATCGTATTTACGATGACGATTTTTATGAACGGACACACACCCTCTCTCTCACATACACACACACACACGCACGCACGCACGCAAGCACGCACGCACGCACGCACGCACGCACGCACGCAAGCACACACGCACGCACGCACGCACGCACGCACGCACGAACGCACGCACGCACGCACGCACGCACGCAATCACGCACGCACGCACGCACGCACGCACGCACGCACGCACACTCACTCACTCACACACACTCACACACACACACACACTCACACACACACACACACACACACACACACACACACACACACACACACACACACACACACACACACACGTATTTTTAAAAACAGCAAGGTCGGACTCCAGTGATTCAAAAACGTGGACTGCGAAAATAGGATCATTACAAATTTTACATTAAAATTTATAATACGTATCCTTCTACTAACAGGTAGAAAGTTAAAACTATATAAAAATAGCACTTATTTTATAAATTAAGCGTAAATTTAACTCAATTTTCAATTTCATCGAAATATCTCAGGCGACATTGGACAAAACTTTCAATCTACAGGCAAGCTTGATATCGTTAACACGTAATAAAACATCAAATGCTTTGAACACGTTCATTTTGATATGCTTTCGCGACTGATAATTACACACCATATTGAATTCTAAATAAAATAGCCTAAAGACAAAAATTATAAAGTAGCGCGTATTTTGCAAAGTCACTTCTGGTTAAAATTAGTAACGGATAACATTGTGTTCCAAATTTAATTATTAAATTACGAATGCGTTATTAATAAATGAATGCTACAAAGTGAAACTAACGACATGAATCACGTATTTGTTAATTATGGATCAGTCGTTGAACAAAATAAAAGTTTTAATGTCTACTTGTAAAATGGATTTGAATTGGATTGAATAGATTATCAGTTTTAACTTAAAATTAATAATATGATTTATTCGTCTAAAATAATGTTGTATTCTTGATAATGCCAACATGCAACATTAGATTCAAAAGGCTGCTTAAGAAAGATGAAAAGGCAGTTAAAGAATAAGAAAATACAATAGATAATATCTAGGTAAATGGATTATAATATATAACTAGTATCAGGTTGGGTGGGGATTTTTTTAAAAGTAAGATGATAAACGAACTAACAACCAAGGGGATTGTCAATGGCTACTGCAGTCAACTTCAAACGAATAAGGTTACAGATGTGTTGTCACCTTAAAATATTAAGATAGAATGCCTTGCAGCCTGCAATTATACTGATTCTCTATAACCCCTCATGTGCCCGACCGTTTTATGTTTTTACGCTTCAAGTGTCAGGAGCCGTTCGGGAGGTCGCGCGATACCGGCAGGCGCTGATGTAAACAATGATATCTTTTTAATTTTGTATGCCAGCTATTTTAAAAACTTATACGCATAGATTAGTTATGAATTAAGATATTTAATTGGTTAAAGCGTTTCGTATGAAAAACCGTGTATGTACGTTCACTATATTTTTTAAATAACTTAATTTTTTCTGCACAATGATTTTTATTATATTGTGCTCTTATCAGAAAAATGCTGTCTATCTGCATTTTCATTTTACCTCTGTCGATTTTCACGACACCTATTTGACTCCACCATTTATCATCATTATCATTACAGCCGGTCACAAGTTCTCTGCTGAACATTAACCGTCCTCAAGGAATGCCACAAATCACGGTCCTGTATTACCTGCATCCATCGACTTCCAGCATATCTTACCAGGTCGTCACCTAGTGGGAATCATCCTTTTATAATAAACACAAAAAAGTGAATGAAAATGTACTATGTTCACGTATTGTTACAAGTGTTGGTAGTTTTCCAAAACTTTCCAATTAATTCGATTTTCTTCTAAGAAACATTTTACCAACCTTTACTTGTATTTTCGATATTAGTTTAATTTGATCATTGAAGATTTCACCTTGTGTATCCAATCGCAATTCTTGAGTAAAGAAATGGATTCTGTTACATATTTAAAAGGTCCCACACTTACTTCTACACTAGGGACCTGCTACGCGTCGGATGTAATTTCAGATAATACATGGGTACATTTTTAAGGGAAAAAAAGTTTCTTGTTATCTCCTTGGCAAAGGTGACTAGTGTGTCCGCGGTCGTTTGGTTTAAAACCTATTAATGAATGTGTATTCTTTAACATTTAAATAAAACTAATTTTACGGATTTTATCGCGTATATTAACTTATTTTATATTCCCGACGTTTCGAGCACTTTACAGCACCCTTGGTCATGGGTCATTTTTAATCTGGAGGTAGCCGTGGTTAACTATGACATTGGGACGTCATACACCTTAGTCTCCCCCGTGACCGTGGGTACTGTAAAGTGCTCTAAACGTCGGGAATATAAAATAAGTTAATATACGCGATAAAATCTGTAAAATTAGTTTTATTTAAATGTGTAGTGTTCGCGTAAATATAAGAAATCATTGTGTATTTAATAGAGAATGAGTTTATTTGCACAATATTTACAATATTTTAATATTAAGTATATATATTAAATATTTTTGGATTGTACAATTATCCTTAAACGCCAATTTTACTTAGTTTATTGGATTACTTAAGTAATGAAAGTAATTACGATAATGTATATAAAAATCAATGGCTGTGCGTTGGTCTCGCGAAAACTTGAAATTAGGTCGACCAATTTTGATGAAATTTTTTTATGTGTTTTAGTGGGTGGTTTAGAATAACAATTGGGCCAGATAGATGGCGCTGTTGTCGAAATCCAGAAATCACCCTTGCGAAGCCGTGGTAAATCGCTAGCAACTAAAAAAGTAACAATTGTTTAATCGTAAGTGTCTAAGAAAATATATTATAAAGAAATGTTATAGTAGTAGATCTCTTTTTTGCCTATGAATCCGTCTGGTCACTACCCCCTTAACTATGTCTGTCGACAAATAACTCGCACTGTCGAGTTCCAGTCTGAAGAGTATAGAGTGCCAATATAATATTTACAGGCTGTGAGGCATTCTTTGTTAGTCCCCAGACAACGCAATCTTTGTCTGAAGTTAGCTGCAGGTGTTCACGGACTGTAGCGGCCGGTTCGTATGTCACTTCAGTTTGATTAAAAAAAATATGATGGTATAGAGAGTGTACTTCGTAATATATATTAGTATATTAAAAAGATAGAAAATACTTTAGTAAAATATGTATTAAATGTTAGAAAAACAACGCGGAATGCCTAAACCACCCTTTTCCTAATAGATTTGTCATAAACTATTATTTAATAGTTTTGGCATATAGGTACATGTATATTACATTTTGAACGAATTTGACTGTTAGTAATTTTTTGAATTGAATGAACTGTCAAACAAAAAGGATAAATTCTTTATCCGTCCTCTTTTCTACCGACTTCAAAAAGGAGGAGGTAATCAATTCGACTGTATGTTTTTTTTGTATGTGTGTGTTACCTTATAACTTTTTTCTGGGTGAAACGCTTTCGGTGATTCTTTTTTTATTTGTAAGCTGGTGCTTCTCATGTGGTCTCACAAAACTTATTCAAGGTCTGACCAATAATTTTTGAGTTATTCTTAATAATTTATAATGAAGTCGGTTGAACAAAATTTTTAATTTTAAATTATACATGAAGAAAGTCTAACAGATAGGGCAGCTGAGTGACAAATAACTTTTTTCTGACAACTCTAGGATAGTCTAATGTTGATATATTTAAAAAATATATACGTGGTAGAGCCACGCTGCAGTTATATCATGGTTGTAGTTGTAATGTTGAAATATTTATAAAAATATACGTGGTAGAGCAGCATGGCTCTATATATTTTTTATTTATATTATTATTTTTTTAATATTTCAACTTTAGAATCATAGGGTTGTAAGAAAAATGTATTTTACTTGTAGCACGAATAGGCTCGACCGGAGTAGGACCACGCCCTCACAGAATCCTAGCGTAAAATAGTGGCTTAATGCCGCTGTACTACGTGAGGTAAGTGTAGAGAACCGAAGACCCTACTGGAAACGAGGCATTCTTTCTTAGTTATCAGGGTTGACAAGGCATTTTGATTCTTAATGAATGATAAATGTAGATGTCTATGGGCTACAGCATCCACTTATATAAAATAAGTAAAAGGTGTTTTAAAAGGAAAGAAATCCTTTAGCTATCATCAGTTAAGAATCACAATGCGGGTGCGTTGCGACTTCTTAGGACTAAAATGACTTGATACTAGTAAAAAAAAGTCTTAAGTAGTATTTTTGAAGGTTTTAGATTTTGTGGCGAATCGCTAAATTAAACTGACAGTATTGTACTATAATACGAATAAGGAGCTGGCAAGTCTAACAGAGAGCGTAAGAAAGAAAAAAATTGCTTGAAGTCAAGTGGGAACGACTACACAAGTACAGGGTGAGCGGGCAGAAAATATAACGTCCTTAATTTTCTGGAAGTCAGACGGCCATTGTGATATCGCCTGAACAATGGAAGCCACTTAACAACGTAATAACTGTAATAAATGTGCGTGCGATTATATATCATGTGCTGTACGAGCAGGGCGTAAAATTGTATAACGTAATTATGCTATACTTGAAACGAAATCTTTGTGACTAAGTGAACTAAAGATTTTACAATTATTTCGACACCCACGTGAATCCTATTAAATCAAGGATTTTGTAATTATATACCTAAAATTATCATAGAGATGAAATCATTACATAAAATAAGCAAGAACTTTCTACTGCACTACCTTATACTATCTAACACTACCTAATACAA